CTACCGGGTCGACAAGGTGATCAGACCGGGGACTTACCATCTCAAAAGATTGAACAGTTCCCAAGTACTCGAGCTTGGAATGCCGAGCACCCCGGCCATACTATCATTAATCCCTAACTCATCTCTCAATTAGTTTTTGTTAGTTTCCTCTTTAATGTAAAGCATAATTTTTCTGGAAACAGTTCGCATGTTTTCTGTTTGCATGTAAAATTCGCATGTAATATTGCCTATGTAAAACTGAATAGTAAATTGCACTTATGTATGAAAAAGGCGAATAGCAATTAAAGTAAAATGTATTTTCATTTATGTACAACAACAAATTAAGACCCATTTCAATGGAGTCAGACTTATTACACTATCGTGTCGGGGGGATCCTTCGAAGCAGACCAGAACCCCCTGCTTGGTCGGATCGTCGGGTGGCCGCTGTTGCTTGATCGTCTTCCTACGCCATAATCCGCAAGGTCTCTCGCCACCCCTCCGGGAGGTCGAAAATGTCCATATCTGGGTTTTTTAATCGCAGGGAATAAATAGACCCGATCGCCCAGTCGGTGGCCTTTTCCTCCATCTCCTCTAACTGGATCCGCATTTCTTCAGTCAGTGAAGCGATTTTTTCCCGACTCTCCTGGAGTTCGGCCTCAAGAGCTTGCTTCTCCTGTTCGGAAGCCTCCCTTTCCTGTTCAGCTTGCTGAGCCCATATAGAGGTCGTCTGGATCTCTTGGTCCTTCTCTCCGACCTCCTTGGAGAGCTTGGCGGTTGTCCTTTGAAGTTCCTTCACTTCATCCGCACGTCGCTCAAGCTCCTCCTTTTGGAAGTCCACAGTTCGCAAAGCAGCATCCTTTTGGTTCAGATACCTGTTCGCCGCTTCGAATGCTTGCGTTCTTTCAGCTTCGACGGACTCCAGGCTTTTCTTGAGCTTCGCGACCTCTTCTTTAGGTCGCTGGCCCCCTTCGCGGCCCCCAGCCGAGTCTTCTCCATAGACATCCTCATCGCAAGCAAAGCCTATGAGCAAGAAATGATTAGAAATGAACTAGAATGAAATTTTAAGAGCAGCTCGTTTACCTTGCTTAGATGCTAGAACGACGTGGTCATCAAGTCGTCACCCGTATCAGCGAACTTATCATATGACTCCGATAGTCCACACTCGAGCAGAGAATAGACTATTGGCTGTAGGTATTCGGGCAGGCTCCCCAATGAGTCAAGCACTGGTGCGTCCTTCACCTTGTCGGCAGTGATTGCCTCGCTTACAGGTTCCTTGCCCGACCTCCTTGAGTCCTTTCGCGACCTCAAGGGCTCTTCCTTAGATTCGGTCTCAGACTCGTCGACCTGAATCTGTTTCCTCTTCTTCGACCTCTGGGCCAGAGCCTTCCGCCTTGGGCGAGCAGGTAGTGCCTGAGCGACCTGTTCTGCCCTGGTCGCTTCTTGCACAGGTTGGGGCTGGGAAGGCGCGGCAATTCGCACTGGTTATGCTGGAATAGGACGAGCAGCTTCGGCTGCTCTCTCTCTCCTCGATCGAGGGAAGATGAACAGTGCTCGGCGAGGCTGCTCGGACTCCTTCGGAGGCATAGTTTTTGCATACAAGTGCGTTAGTTAACAAAACTATTCCGCGACCAGGAAGGAAATCAATGTAACTTACCTTCTAGGGGCTCTAAAGACGTGTTGCTACTGATAAAACCGTACTTCCGTAAGTTTGCGGTTGTCACGAGCTTCCTCGCGTCCCGGCTTTCCTCGAGAAGGACTCCAAAAGATAAGAGCCTGTCCGGGTCGTCGAGCAAGTCTTGGCTGGTCGTTCTATTAACTGCAAAAGAAGAATACAGGTCGTTATTATAAAGCATGCGAACAGATAATATACCTAGCGAGGAAGAACCTACTTGATTTCTGAAAGCGGCAGTAGCCATCATAGCAGAAAAAGAAGAATTTCGTCTCGTAGGCCCCCACGTTGCTGGGATAGCTATGTATCCCCTCGGCGATGGTAGGTCGCCGGGACAAGTAATATGAATCCTTGTCCCTACTCTTTTTAAGATAGTAGGTGATACCGAGCTCCACCGCCGTTGGCTCGCCCAAGCCGCTTTCGCAGCACACGATGTACATCGCGACGGCAATGACATACGTGTTTGGTGTCAGCTGCATCAGTGCGATCCCGAAGTGATCCAGGACCGACCTGATGAAAGGATGGAAGGGAATCATCCCTCCACCCTTGAAGATCTCTTCGGAGATCGCAGCAAGGCCATCCGCAGGATGCTGTGACGACCGGGTGTGGTCGAGGAACACCTCTGTGCGGACGTTGTACTGTTTTTTAATCCTATCAAGCTCTTCTTGGGTGAGAACCGAGAAGACGTCAAGGGATGCGTCCGCGGGAACTTCCCGCGAGGACGAGCTGGTTCCTTCCTCGGGTCTGGATGTTGACGGTTCCATTCCAGAGTTTGCAACACCGACAGACACGGTCATTTTAGCCTTCGCATTTTGTCCCGTGCGGCGGCATGGGACAAATTCCTTAAACCCTAGCAGTAACTCGAGTTGCCACCCACGGCTCGAGTCCGACGACAGCGGCGCGTCTCTGGTGAAACACCAGGAGACCCAACGACGTTGCCCACCAACCAAACAAACAAACAAACAAAAAAAGAGAGAGAGAGAGAGAGAGAGAGAGAGGTGCAATTATGCAATTTCTTAATTAATTTCTTGAACAAAAAAAAAAAGAGGAAGAAGAAAAAGGATCTTACCTTCTGGGATGCGTGACCAAGGCCAAATTTTGTTTCAGATGTCTGAGAAGCGCCAATCGGAAAAGAAGAACTTCCGGTTTGCAAAGGCTTATCACTCGAAGCAAAAGGGATTTTGGTGGCCTCATCTGAAAAATGTGAGCTTTTATATGGACTGCGAATCAACGGTTACTACCTCTCGGAACCGAAACGACAGCCTTCTCTCTCTCCCCGCATTTAATGCGCCCCACATCGCATTAAATGCCGTGATGAGGGTCGTCGTTTCAAATGCATCGTGCAGTTAAAGCTGTCAAAACGACGTCGGGTCAGCACACAACGTATTTAATGCACCTGACAGACACTGCAGCACGTGCAGAGCGCCTGACAGCGTGGATGCAGGTTCATTGAATCTCTCCAAGGCACGGAAAAGAGTGTCCGACGAATCCAGGTCGCTAAAATGATGATTGTCAGGTCGTTTAAGCAAAAATTGTGCGAGGTTGTGCTCGCAAAAGTTCCTGTCCCGAGCTTCTTCCATTCAGGTCGAAACTACCAGAACCTCCAATCGCGGCATGACTTAGTTTCCAAGGTTCGATCCTCAAACCTTAAAAACTAGGGGACTTCTGTTATGCTTGGGAAATCAAGGGCTGACGTGGAGTCACGTGACGAAACGTGGCCTGCTCTCGTCAGAACGGTAAGCGCACGTCAGGCCTGCCAAGCGCCCTGGAGCTCCCACGTGTCCGCTTCCCTACTCCAAATCGCGTAAAATCAGCTTGGGAAATGGGCAATAGGACGTAAAGCCAGATTATGTCCTGACATTCACACCAACCCAAGGATTTAATGATGATTACACGCATTCAACTTGAGATAAGAAGAGAAAGACCCCTTCATTAGGGGGATTCGATCATTTTACATTTGAACTCTCTCTCTAAAAAAGCTTTGTATTTACTTTTCAATCCTTTGTAAGTCAGTCCGCTTTAGCGACCTGACCCACCATATCAATACAAATCAGTGGATGTAAGACTTGCTACCTTAGCATCCGAACCACTTTAAAAGCTCTCATTGCATTTATTTCATATTCATAATCCATATTCACGTGTGTTCCTTGTCCAATCAACGATGCGCAAGTGTTAATTAGTTGGTGCCTAAATCGCGCATCAACCTCTCACGCAGCCAAACTCATGGCAGCCCCTCCCCCAACAACACGTCAAAAATCCAGTAAATAAAAAAAACAACTTTTTTTCCTTCATCATAAAAATTACAAATTGATGAAAAAGGAGTACGAAAGAGAAAATAATTTACAAAAAAAAAAAGAACAGGAAGGTCAGATTTTTGTCTATTATAGTGAGTTTGTGTTTGGAAGTTAAAAGAATTTGAGATATAATTAATTTGATATTTTTATGCGAATCAAAATCAAATTTAATTTTTATATTTTTCAAATTATTTTATTGAGGGTATTTTATACTTTATAAAAAGAATCGGGGTAAGCTAACAATATTCAATAACAGCTGTTAGTTTGAGGGATTATTTTACAAGTGAAAAATTAAAGTGTCCTCAATTGTTACTAAAGCGATAACTCAGGGATAACTGAGTATTTTCTAATAATGTAACCAAATTTTTGTGTTTGTTGTTGTATTCTTGTACATGTAAAAGAAAGGTTTTGTTGAAAAAAATTTAAGTAATTTTTGATCTATTCTAGTTTTGGTCCATGTATGTTGAAAAAATTTGATGAGATTGTTTTAAAGAATTCAAATACACACACACACACACACACACACACACACACACACACGCATGCACACATCCACACCCATACCCATACCCACACAAGCACAAGCACATACATACGCATATATGCACACGTGCGCTCGTGCGTGCGCACACACACACACACACACACATATTCTTTATCAAATAAAAATAAAACTTTCATTTATTAAATAAAATAAATTAGGGGTATTTTAGTTAAAAAATAACAAGTTATTTTCCATTCTATCAACATTCCATATCAGAATAAAATAAAGTAATCTCATTATATTCATTAATAATACTTTCATTCCATTGCTCTTCATACATCATACTATCATTTCGTCAATTTTTAATTTGCAAACCAAATATAATCCTAATGTTTAAATGTATGAAAATTATAAGAATTTTAAATATATTTTTAATTATTACATGTTTATCTAAAAATTGAAAGAAATATGCGAAAAAGTTTAGAAGGGAGATATCTCCGTGATTTACTAAATACAAAGCGCGGACAGCTCAATAATAGAAGGGGCCAATGCACCAATGCCCACGGTATGAGTAAAACGGTGAGAGTGTAGAAAGAAAACGACTTCCTCCTTCCTTTTCTCTCTATTTAAACCACTCACTCTACGCGTCATTCCCACCGCTCTTTGTCTATTCCCATTTTCCAGTCTCTGGATTTCCAACAAAGTCTTTACCGCATTTCCTTCTTCTTCCTTCCTTCTTCAAGATCCATCCCAGGTACGTTTTTCTTTTCTCTCTTTTTCACTCTCTTTTTCGCATTTTAGATTTTGGGTTATTTATTTCATGAACATTTTTTTTATCTATTGTTTATCTCAGATTTCATGCTTTTATTCTTTGTTTGTAATGTAATGGATTCTACATTCCTTATCATGTTAAATTCTGATATAAAGTTACAGAAAACCAGAATTTTAAATCTTGTATATTGTTTTAATTGCGGCTCAATTAACTATAAAGATGCTTTCCAATTAACCCCATTTTCACTTAAGGATCTTGTTGAGTTAGATTTAGTTTGTTTTGATTTTCAGTTAAAAAATAGTAGAAAATCTTTGTTCATTTCTTGATAACAAAACAAAGGGTTTTTTTTCTTAAATTTTATTCATTTAGCTTATAGTTTCTGTTAGAGTTGTTGATTTGTAACGGCTTTGCAATCTTTCTGCAGATCTTATACAATGACTATGAGTAATGGTAATGAACACCTAGTGGCTTGTAATGGAGAAGCGAAAACTAACAAACCCTTCAAGATCTTCGTGGGTTATGATCCACGCGAGGATCTTGCTTATCAGGTATGTCGCCATTCAATCTTGAAGCGCTCGTCCATTCCTGTTGAAATTACACCCATTGTGCAGTCAGATCTTCGGAAAAAAGGCCTATACTGGCGTGAACGAGGCCAAACTGAGAGTACTGAGTTCTCCTTCTCTCGGTTCTTGACCCCTTACTTAGCTGATTATGATGGTTGGGCTATGTTTGTTGATTGCGATTTTCTTTACTTAACTGATGTCAAAGAATTGAGAGACTTGATTGATGATAAGTATGCTATTATGTGTGTACATCATGATTATACACCTAAAGAAACCACAAAAATGGATGGGGCAGTGCAAACTGTGTATCCAAGGAAAAATTGGTCTTCGATGGTGTTGTATAATTGTGGCCACCCGAAAAATAAGGTGTTGACACCTGAAGTTGTGAACACACAAACGGGTGCATTTCTTCATAGGTTTCAGTGGCTTGAAGATGAAGAAATTGGGTCTGTCCCGTTTCTGTGGAATTTTCTTGAGGGGCATAACAGGATTGTTGAGAATGATCCCACTACATTTCCAAAGGCGATACATTACACTCGTGGAGGACCATGGTTTGAGGCCTGGAAGAATTGTGAGTTTGCGGATCTTTGGTTAAATGAGATGGAGGAGTACATGAAGGAAAGTAAGAAGATGATTGAGAATTAAATAGTACCAATTGGTTCCGAATAAGATTTAGTTTCCAGATTTACTAGTAATATTGACTTGTGTCTTGCTTATTCTTTGTTTCTGAATCCAATATTTGTATTCTTTGTTTTGATTGCTCTCCTGTGGAGAGTTGAGTAATCCTTTGGAATAATTGCTACATAGGTGCCGCTCGCTCGCATATTCCTTATATATATGTATGTATGTAATGCTTCATTGTTTATTTGTCTAAATACGACATGTCGTTTTTACTTAATAGATTGTAAATCAAATCAATTTATAATTTGTGAAAGTTATTTGCCTTCTCTTTCTAGTAATATGTTATTGGCTTGGTAATTGTGTCTTTGAATAGGACTTGTTTGAGTGCTATCTGTTTGAAGGTAAGCTTTAGTTTTTTTGATTCCTTTCCCTTCTTTAGTCGGTTTACTTTTGGTTTTTGCTTCTTCATTTGGGGCATCTTGGGACCTTTACAGTAACGGAAAGCTTCTGGTGGCTACTGGTAAACCATTTGGTTCAAATTTGTAGCTTCAAATACTTGTTTGATGCTGGGAACTCAGGATGAAAACAACGAAGTTAATGACTCAATTAGTTCAAAATTTCTCAAACGCATGTTGATATCTGAATGCTAAATTATCTGATATTTAATATTGCAGGTTAACAAGATGTAAGAGAGAATAAAAATTCAAGAGAAAAACGGGTTTGGGTAGTGTAAACCATAAGTAATCAGTGATTGAAAAGCTTCACATGCAAGTAACATGTGATGCCAGTTCTTCAATTGATTATTGAAAGCAAATGGGTGGTTGTTTTAAAGCTAGTTTTAATAAGTTCCTGGAAGAGCCTTTAATTTTCTTTGTTCATTTGTTTAACTCATTTATGTGGAACAATCCATGGGTATGGGTCTTGGAAGCATTACATTCTTTGCTTGTATCAAGGGATAGGTTCTTAATTTCTTTTTCTCTTTCTTTTTTCTGCACTACTTAATGGGGTTTATAGTCTCAAGTCCACGCATCTCTCTTGTATACTATTTCATAAGGTTGTATCCTTACATAGCACAAACGGAGAATCTCAGTCCAACTATTTGGTCTATATATGAGGTATAGCCCAACTCCTATCCATGTTTGTACAATAGCTCTTTGGGCTATTGGGCAAATGGAGTGGGTTCAGTTGTCCCATGCCCAACCCAATTCTATTTGCGGCTAACCCACCCCACCCACGCCACCCCGATAGCCCTAACTAAGATTAAAATTAAATTTCATCATGAGAACAAGGCTATTCCTTCTTCTTCTTTTTTATTTTACAAACAACATTTGAATAAAAGTAAAAAAAAAATTTCATTACTCTAAGATTTAAATTCAACAAGTTTAAACTCTTAATAGAAAGTCATTTTTGTTTTCTTTTTGTTTGATAAAGTGGTGTGTTTTTGCTCCAATGCCAGTCCCATCGAGCCTAGACAACAACAATCTGTTGTAATCTGTTGGTTCCATTGGATTCAAGACATGCCATTTACTCGTAGAAGGTGATTGAAACTTTCATTGCCTTCTACAGCCAAATAAAGTGTCGAGATATGATGAAACCATCATATTCAAATAGAATGTCACCGTTTTGTCTTGATTCAACTGCCGATGGTGCAAGCGCGCTAACTTTTATGGTGTTGATCACTGGTTCACTGTCAATTGACCAACATTGACTGTCGCTTGACCTATGGTTGACTGATGACAATGATGAATTTAATATTTTTTAAATTTATTGATATATTTATTATATTATATTAAATTTCTATTTAAGTTTATTTTGTAATTAGAAGAAAATGTATATTTATTGGTAATCCTTTTGGTAAAAGTGCTATTGTGTATTTGATATTGAGCCTCGTAAAATATTCACTAGTTGAAATGCTGTTTCTCGCAAAAACAACATTTTTCTTTACAGTTAAACAAGATTATTCCCATGACATGAATGATGGTCCAGCTCCAGTCTTACCTAACTTCCTCAGTAATTTTAGTTTCAACTACAAGACATTAGTAGATCTACTTGATCTCGTCAGCTATATATTTGGTTGAGAGATTGTCATTGTTCCTTCATTAGGATTGTATCATCTCCATCTTCCGGATCGACACTGAACCATGTCAAAAGGTACTCGTTTTCCCTTTTTCTAATTTTGTTTCTTATAAAAATTTGTCTCTATTACAAATATTATATGCGACATGCGTTAACTGCAAAAGACATTACTTCGGTGAGTTTTTGCACCTTAAAAATGTAGACAATTTCATGTATTAATTCCAGCTTCCAATGTTGACTAGACAAGTCAACGTTTATTTTGTATGCAGGATTTTGAAATTCTGGGAATTGCTTGGAAAGGAAGTGTGTACATTGGATGTTGGACTTCGAGTTTTATGCTATGAGACAGCTAAAATTGTTTATTTTGATGTGTCAAAACTTGCATCTACCCTAAACAAAGAAAAAAGAATCTTTATTAGACTCTTCCAAGCGAAGTTTTCCTTCACCCATTTCATCATAACTCCACTGCAGAATCAAACAAGTTTGAAACTAATAGAGTACAAAAAATATGATGGTCTCTACTAAGCTGATGTCTAAAACTATTCGGACTCCAATTGTAAAGAAAATTCTGAGCTGTCTTCTATTGATCCTTGCTGGGTTTCTTCAGAAGTTTCCATATATAACATCTCATCTCTCATTTGCTGAGGCTCTTGGTCGATTTCCAAACTACTTTGAGATCTTATCGATCCTTCAAGCTCGGTAACCACCTCTTTCATAGTAGGCCTCTTTTTCCCATTCAATCTCAAACATCTCACTGCAAGCTCCACAATAGATTGAATATCTTCCTCCCTTGCTTCTGTAGCCACTCTTGGATCTAAAATCTCAAGTAGTTGGTTGTCCTTTAATAGTTCAATAAAGTCTGCAACCAGGTTTCTCTCTTTTGCTCTATCACACACACATATTCTTTATCAAATAAAAATAAAACTTTCATTTATTAAATAAAATAAATTAGGGGTATTTTAGTTAAAAAATAACAAGTTATTTTCCATTCTATCAACATTCCATATCAGAATAAAATAAAGTAATCTCATTATATTCATTAATAATACTTTCATTCCATTGCTCTTCATACATCATACTATCATTTCGTCAATTTTTAATTTGCAAACCAAATATAATCCTAATGTTTAAATGTATGAAAATTATAAGAATTTTAAATATATTTTTAATTATTACATGTTTATCTAAAAATTGAAAGAAATATGCGAAAAAGTTTAGAAGGGAGATATCTCCGTGATTTACTAAATACAAAGCGCGGACAGCTCAATAATAGAAGGGGCCAATGCACCAATGCCCACGGTATGAGTAAAACGGTGAGAGTGTAGAAAGAAAACGACTTCCTCCTTCCTTTTCTCTCTATTTAAACCACTCACTCTACGCGTCATTCCCACCGCTCTTTGTCTATTCCCATTTTCCAGTCTCTGGATTTCCAACAAAGTCTTTACCGCACTTCCTTCCTTCTTCAAGATCCATCCCAGGTACGTTTTTCTTTTCTCTCTTTTTCACTCTCTTTTTCGCATTTTAGATTTTGGGTTATTTATTTCATGAACATTTTTTTATCTATTGTTTATCTCAGATTTCATGCTTTTATTCTTTGTTTGTAATGTAATGGATTCTACATTCCTTATCATGTTAAATTCTGATATAAAGTTACAGAAAACCAGAATTTTAAATCTTGTATATTGTTTTAATTGCGGCTCAATTAACTATAAAGATGCTTTCCAATTAACCCCATTTTCACTTAAGGATCTTGTTGAGTTAGATTTAGTTTGTTTTGATTTTCAGTTAAAAAATAGTAGAAAATCTTTGTTCATTTCTTGATAACAAAACAAAGGGTTTTTTTTCTTAAATTTTATTTATTTAGCTTATAGTTTCTGTTAGAGTTGTTGATTTGTAACGGCTTTGCAATCTTTCTGCAGATCTTATACAATGACTATGAGTAATGGTAATGAACACCTAGTGGCTTGTAATGGAGAAGCGAAAACTAACAAACCCTTCAAGATCTTCGTGGGTTATGATCCACGCGAGGATCTTGCTTATCAGGTATGTCGCCATTCAATCTTGAAGCGCTCGTCCATTCCTGTTGAAATTACACCCATTGTGCAGTCAGATCTTCGGAAAAAAGGCCTATACTGGCGTGAACGAGGCCAAACTGAGAGTACTGAGTTCTCCTTCTCTCGGTTCTTGACCCCTTACTTAGCTGATTATGATGGTTGGGCTATGTTTGTTGATTGCGATTTTCTTTACTTAACTGATGTCAAAGAATTGAGAGACTTGATTGATGATAAGTATGCTATTATGTGTGTACATCATGATTATACACCTAAAGAAACCACAAAAATGGATGGGGCAGTGCAAACTGTGTATCCAAGGAAAAATTGGTCTTCGATGGTGTTGTATAATTGTGGCCACCCGAAAAATAAGGTGTTGACACCTGAAGTTGTGAACACACAAACGGGTGCATTTCTTCATAGGTTTCAGTGGCTTGAAGATGAAGAAATTGGGTCTGTCCCGTTTCTGTGGAATTTTCTTGAGGGGCATAACAGGATTGTTGAGAATGATCCCACTACATTTCCAAAGGCGATACATTACACTCGTGGAGGACCATGGTTTGAGGCCTGGAAGAATTGTGAGTTTGCGGATCTTTGGTTAAATGAGATGGAGGAGTACATGAAGGAAAGTAAGAAGATGATTGAGAATTAAATAGTACCAATTGGTTCCGAATAAGATTTAGTTTCCAGATTTACTAGTAATATTGACTTGTGTCTTGCTTATTCTTTGTTTCTGAATCCAATATTTGTATTCTTTGTTTTGATTGCTCTCCTGTGGAGAGTTGAGTAATCCTTTGGAATAATTGCTACATAGGTGCCGCTCGCTCGCATATTCCTTATATATATGTATGTATGTAATGCTTCATTGTTTATTTGTCTAAATACGACATGTCGTTTTTACTTAATAGATTGTAAATCAAATCAATTTATAATTTGTGAAAGTTATTTGCCTTCTCTTTCTAGTAATATGTTATTGGCTTGGTAATTGTGTCTTTGAATAGGACTTGTTTGAGTGCTATCTGTTTGAAGGTAAGCTTTAGTTTTTTTGATTCCTTTCCCTTCTTTAGTCGGTTTACTTTTGGTTTTTGCTTCTTCATTTGGGGCATCTTGGGACCTTTACAGTAACGGAAAGCTTCTGGTGGCTACTGGTAAACCATTTGGTTCAAATTTGTAGCTTCAAATACTTGTTTGATGCTGGGAACTCAGGATGAAAACAACGAAGTTAATGACTCAATTAGTTCAAAATTTCTCAAACGCATGTTGATATCTGAATGCTAAATTATCTGATATTTAATATTGCAGGTTAACAAGATGTAAGAGAGAATAAAAATTCAAGAGAAAAACGGGTTTGGGTAGTGTAAACCATAAGTAATCAGTGATTGAAAAGCTTCACATGCAAGTAACATGTGATGCCAGTTCTTCAATTGATTATTGAAAGCAAATGGGTGGTTGTTTTAAAGCTAGTTTTAATAAGTTCCTGGAAGAGCCTTTAATTTTCTTTGTTCATTTGTTTAACTCATTTATGTGGAACAATCCATGGGTATGGGTCTTGGAAGCATTACATTCTTTGCTTGTATCAAGGGATAGGTTCTTAATTTCTTTTTCTCTTTCTTTTTTCTGCACTACTTAATGGGGTTTATAGTCTCAAGTCCACGCATCTCTCTTGTATACTATTTCATAAGGTTGTATCCTTACATAGCACAAACGGAGAATCTCAGTCCAACTATTTGGTCTATATATGAGGTATAGCCCAACTCCTATCCATGTTTGTACAATAGCTCTTTGGGCTATTGGGCAAATGGAGTGGGTTCAGTTGTCCCATGCCCAACCCAATTCTATTTGCGGCTAACCCACCCCACCCACGCCACCCCGATAGCCCTAACTAAGATTAAAATTAAATTTCATCATGAGAACAAGGCTATTCCTTCTTCTTCTTTTTTATTTTACAAACAACATTTGAATAAAAGTAAAAAAAAAATTTCATTACTCTAAGATTTAAATTCAACAAGTTTAAACTCTTAATAGAAAGTCATTTTTGTTTTCTTTTTGTTTGATAAAGTGGTGTGTTTTTGCTCCAATGCCAGTCCCATCGAGCCTAGACAACAACAATCTGTTGTAATCTGTTGGTTCCATTGGATTCAAGACATGCCATTTACTCGTAGAAGGTGATTGAAACTTTCATTGCCTTCTACAGCCAAATAAAGTGTCGAGATATGATGAAACCATCATATTCAAATAGAATGTCACCGTTTTGTCTTGATTCAACTGCCGATGGTGCAAGCGCGCTAACTTTTATGGTGTTGATCACTGGTTCACTGTCAATTGACCAACATTGACTGTCGCTTGACCTATGGTTGACTGATGACAATGATGAATTTAATATTTTTTAAATTTATTGATATATTTATTATATTATATTAAATTTCTATTTAAGTTTATTTTGTAATTAGAAGAAAATGTATATTTATTGGTAATCCTTTTGGTAAAAGTGCTATTGTGTATTTGATATTGAGCCTCGTAAAATATTCACTAGTTGAAATGCTGTTTCTCGCAAAAACAACATTTTTCTTTACAGTTAAACAAGATTATTCCCATGACATGAATGATGGTCCAGCTCCAGTCTTACCTAACTTCCTCAGTAATTTTAGTTTCAACTACAAGACATTAGTAGATCTACTTGATCTCGTCAGCTATATATTTGGTTGAGAGATTGTCATTGTTCCTTCATTAGGATTGTATCATCTCCATCTTCCGGATCGACACTGAACCATGTCAAAAGGTACTCGTTTTCCCTTTTTCTAATTTTGTTTCTTATAAAAATTTGTCTCTATTACAAATATTATATGCGACATGCGTTAACTGCAAAAGACATTACTTCGGTGAGTTTTTGCACCTTAAAAATGTAGACAATTTCATGTATTAATTCCAGCTTCCAATGTTGACTAGACAAGTCAACGTTTATTTTGTATGCAGGATTTTGAAATTCTGGGAATTGCTTGGAAAGGAAGTGTGTACATTGGATGTTGGACTTCGAGTTTTATGCTATGAGACAGCTAAAATTGTTTATTTTGATGTGTCAAAACTTGCATCTACCCTAAACAAAGAAAAAAGAATCTTTATTAGACTCTTCCAAGCGAAGTTTTCCTTCACCCATTTCATCATAACTCCACTGCAGAATCAAACAAGTTTGAAACTAATAGAGTACAAAAAATATGATGGTCTCTACTAAGCTGATGTCTAAAACTATTTGGACTCCAATTGTAAAGAAAATTCTGAGCTGTCTTCTATTGATCCTTGCTGGGTTTCTTCAGAAGTTTCCATATATAACATCTCATCTCTCATTTGCTGAGGCTCTTGGTCGATTTCCAAACTACTTTGAGATCTTATCAATCCTTCAAGCTCGGTAACCACCTCTTTCATAGTAGGCCTCTTTTTCCCATTAAATCTCAAACATCTCACTGCAAGCTCCACAATAGATTGAATATCTTCCTCCCTTGCTTCTGTAGCCACTCTTGGATCTAAAATCTCAAGTAGTTGGTTGTCCTTTAATAGTTCAATAAAGTCTGCAACCAGGTTTCTCTCTTTTGCTCTAGCAAAGGAGATTGGTGTTTTACCCGTCACGAGCTCTACAAGCACAACTCCGAAACTATACACATCACTTTTATCTGTGAATTGACTTGATTGGAAGTACTCAGGGTCCAAGTATCCAAAAATTCCTTGAACTGCTGTGGTTATGTGAGTTTTATCATTTGGAATAGACCTCGATGTACCAAAATCAGACACTTTTGCACTATACTTATCATCCAGGAGTATCTTGGAAGATTTGATGTCGCGATGAAAGATTGGAATTGAGGCTGCAGAATGCATATAAGCTAATGCTCCTGCAACTTCACAAGCGATTCTAACTCGATCGTCCCACGAAAGTGAAGATTCTTGACCTTGATGATCATCATGATCACTAATATGGTGGAAAAGTGTTCCATTAGCAATGAACTCGTATACTAGGACTGGTACCTCAGTCTCCAGGCAACAACCTAGAAGCTTCACAATGTTTCGATGGTTAATTTGAGATAAAATTACAACTTCATTGATAAATTGCTCAATCTGGCTTTTAAAAACTGCTTTTGATATTTTCACCGCAACTATGCTACCATCAGTTAACATCCCTTTGTACACAGTGCCGAATACTCCCTGCCCAAGAACCCGATTCTGGTTGTAGTTGTCTGTCGCCCTTTTAAGCTCCTCAGCTGTAAATATTTTAGCTCTTTCGCTACTTCCATAGGATGACAAACGTTGCTGCAGCAAGACGCCACCATTTTGCTTAAACAACCTCTCCTTTCGCCGTCTGTATCTTCTATTCTTTAAAAATCTGTACAACATGTACCCCGAGAGACACACACACAGCAATCCCAATCCAATTCCAATACCTAATATAGTGACCAGTTTGACTGGAAATTTTTTACCACGAGGTTTGCAATTGGGTCCCTCTTGACTTCCATCTGCAAGGAAACCATTGAGACAATGGCAAAAGAATTTCTCCGGACTTGTAGCACAGCTCTTGCTTTTCAGTGGAATCAAAAGAGTCGTAAACATTTCGAATGTAGTTTTCTGACACAATCTCGTTTGCCTCCTGAATGCTTTGTCTATCAACTCCAAAATAATTTGCTATCCTTCCATAGGTTTCACCCGATCCCACAATATAAGTGAGCAAGGATGTCACCCCGTTTGCCGACTGGTTTGCATTTGGACAGGCACATTTTAGCGGAACCATCAGCTGTAAACGCGTTTCAAAATTCTGTTCGTCGTGGTAGTTCCCCATCGTGAGAGCCTGGCAGGTGGTGAGGCCCTGGTAAGTTTCAGTGGCTATAGCATAATAAGTTTCGTTCTTGTTTTTGATTGTGTAAGGTGTTTTGTGCTCATAGAGAGTAGCAGAGCACGAACAAGAGACGGGAACTATGACTAATTTTCCATGGCGGATCTTGTCTTTGCGCGAGATATTATTGATGAGGGCAGTACTGGAGGCCTCAGAGCCTAAAAGGTGGGCAATACTGATGGGTGAATCATAAGGTGACTTGGATATAAAGCTCACAAAGGACTGGCATGACTTTTGAAGATCATTGCAGAAATACAATTTTGATACGGAAGAGCTCTCGCTGCAATTTTGCGGGTCCTTAATCTCATATGTTTCTTGACAGTTTGATGGTTGATAGAGTAGATTCATAAAGAGGAAGATTGAGAGGAAAAAGAAGGAATACTGCTACATGGTTTTTTGAATTTTCTTCTTGCATTAATTTGGATTTTCTTTAGAGCTAGCTAAGTGGTGATTTTCTTTAGTGGTTATGATAAAAAAACTTATAAGGAAAGTCCAACCAAAAAACCCGGAGAAAGTATTGTTAATTTGTTTTCTCTATATATTTTTTATCCAACACATTCCGCCAGTCAAATTTGGATGGCCTTGCAAACCGGGTGACTTTGAACAGCTAGTATTATTTGACTATTAATTGATTTTTGAGGGAATCTTTGACTAAATCAGTGGAATTAAATGGAGTTATATTGCACAAAAAGTTTGGGTGAAACTTTTTGCTTAGAACTGAATTATTTAATTGAATCGTACAACTAGACAAAATTTATAAAAATTAACAACTCAAAATTCACGTAAAATTATTATTTTATTCATTGTTTTTTATTTGATTATATGACTCAGTTATAAATATAATGGTTATGTTTGGCTTAGTATTTTTATCTATATTCTGGATCCTATTCTCTAAATAATGTTTGGCACATTATTCCAGAAATATTACTCTATTTTTTTAATTACTTTTAGACCCTATAAGATTATTAATTTCACTAAATACCCCCTAAAAAAAAGTTTAAAAATTAACAAAAACACCCCCATCAACCCAACTTGTCAGATTCTAGCAACCACTGTCGGTGATAGCCGGAATCTGTACAACGGCCTAACTTCCGACCAGAAATGGCCGGAAGTTCACCAATGTGGCCTTCACCTTTGGCCGTCGTTGACCGAAAACGACAGCCACATCTTTGGCCGTCGATGTCCATAACAGACCATAGATCTGGCCTTTTTCGACCAGATCCACCATGGATCTGGTCGAAAAAGGCCATAACGACGTGTTACGGCACAGATCCGACCGGTCTGTGCTGTAACAAAATTTTTCAGCCAGATTCCGGCGGTGGTGGCTGGAATCTGACACTGCAGGTGGTGGGGGTGTTTTTATCATTTTATCTGTTAGGGTCTTTAATTAAATTAGTAAACATAAGGGTTTTTTTACAAATTTTTAAAATTTACCTCGTAATACTCCCCTATCCAATAACCTAATACTATCTTCAAAATCCTATCCAAAATACTAAACCAAACGCACCCAATATTGCTTGAAAAATAATCGAATTATAATACCACTGAAAATTACATCAATGTGCGAAAAAAATCTATATATAATTTTCTCGGTTAGACTCTTGTAGATTTCTTTTTGAAATTGGCTTGCTAATTTTATTCTCTAAATTAATAGAAATAAACGGAGTTATGCTTTACAGTTTATTGAATGTTTGGATAAACAATAAATTTAATTTTTGCAATTGATATCCGTTGAATTTTTGCCAGTGTATATGGTTTATTGAATCTGACGAAAATATGGTTGACTTGTGTTTGATGTCATTGATATTATTGTGTAAAGAGAGGCTTAGCAATGTGCAAAAAGAGCTAGAGAGCTAAAGACGTGGAATGCGATGATTGTGCCCTGATTCAAGAGTGCTATGATCCCAGGATAATTCCATAATTGCCATAATCTTGGCTTGATTCATGGCTTGACTCATGTGATTGTAGTTTATTATTATCCCTGATTTCATGCAATTACATTGATTGTATTACCATTCTTACATTTGTAAACTTGTATAAATTGGACAAGATACAACAAAGAAATATACAGAAAAAATTCTTTCTTATATTTATCTTCTAGGCATTCTCAAGCATCTCTTATTTCTCTGCCTCTGTTGCCTCTCTCACCATACTCTGACATGGTATCAGAGCCTTGCAACTTTACCAAGCTTTCGCTCCTTTAATTTTCTTCTGTCCCTCCAAAAGCAAACATAAAATCTATCAATTGTTTTTTTTCTTTCAAAATACAAACACTCGGTTACTAGAACCAATATTCCAGAAAAAACTACAACCAATTTCTAGAAAGTTATCAGCTCAACCACTCAAATGGCGCGCGCACACACACACACACACACATTGTAGAACAAGCCCACAATGAACCACCTCCAAATCCAAACCCAAGAAATCCAGGCCCAGGCCCAGGCCTAAATGGCCTAAACCCTACAAACCCTACAACAGGCCCAAACCAATTTCCTTTTGGTATACCGAGTTACAACCTAGATAACTTAGATCCAACTCAGCCATACCCATTCACCTTCCAAATGGTTCCACTCGTCGGTCACCGCCCTGAACCAGGTGATGTTCTTTTCTCACTAGCTTCTGATGGACCAGAAATTACCCTCATCAAACAGCAATTAATCAGATTTGATAACTATTTAACCTGGACAAAAGATTTTCAGTGAGCCCTCCTCACCAAAGATAAGGAAAGGTTTTCGACAGCACAATCCCACCACCACCTCTTGAATCACCTCTTCATCATCACTAAAAGAGGTGCAATATGCCGGTGAGGTCATGACTAAGCAACTCTTTGTCTCCAGAAGTGGTGGTTGGATTGCCGCCGACTGAAATAGCTGTAGAAATGTGGACAAATATTAGAGACATGTATTAGCAAAAATCTACACAATCCGGCAACAACTTGCTGAAATCAGCCAAGGTAATGCAACCATGACTTAGTATTTTAACAAACTTTCTACCGTATGGCACGAACTCGATTCTACCGAAGAAAAACTTGAGGGACCACTAGCAACCCTCACACAATTTCAAAGGATTCGCGATAAAGAATGGCTCAACTGTTTTCTACTTGGTCTCAACGAGACTTTTCTGCCTTTTAGAACACAAATCTTGGCCGTTGCAACAATGCTTGATCTTCATCGGATTTTTTAGTTGGCTGTGCAAGAGGAGAGCCAATGCCGAGTCATCATGAATAACCCTTGATCTGGAGAGGCTATCGTTTTTGTTGGCACATGCACGAACGATTTGCCTTCTCTGGTTTCAGAGAAAAGTTTTGAGAATGAGCGGCTAGGTTTCAAAAATCCTTCACAAGCCTCTTTTTTATATGAAGGAACCAAAGGCCCAGATCAGCTGCTTCAATCCAACGGTCAAAATCTGATCTCTCTTCTCCAAGGATCAAACGACCCTTATGCTACCACGTCACAGAGGGGTCAACCGGGTCAAACAAGCATAAAGGATCCAATTGGCAAAATGGGCCCAATGGGTCAAACTGGTCAAATGGGCCCAGATCCAACAAAACCCAAAAAAACGAGTTATTTTGTGAATACTGCAAGAGACGGAATCATACCCAGGATAAATGCTGGAAATTATATAGGTGTCCCAACAACAAGGACAAATAGGGAAATCCATTTGTTCATCAAGTCAACGCTATTCCTGTTGGAAATCCAATTTCTGCACCAATAATTAGCATGGAACAATACAATCAACTGCTTCAAAAGATGAATCAAATTCTACAAACACCCTCGGCTTCCTATGTAGGTACATCTTTTTGCTTAAATTCAATTAAAGATGATATTTGGATTATTGATTCAGGGGCTAGCGATCATATCATTAGTAACCCAAATTTTTTCGCTCATAAATCCACTACATCATCCATTTCCATTTGTATGCCGAACACGAATATTGCACCTGCCACACATATAGGAACTGTTCACCTTAGTAAACAACTAATCCTTAAGAATGTCCTTTTTGTTCCAGCTTTCCAATTCAACCTCATTTTTGTCTCCAAAATTTGCACTGATAACCACTATCTTTTAAAATTTCTCTCTAATACATGTGAATTTTAGGACCCTTCGACTAAGACACTGATGAGCTTGGGTAGAGTCATTAATGGCTTGTATTACTAGATCCCTGATAGTTCTTCTAGTGAATTTCAAAACTACCCTATTGTATTACAAATAATAAATCTGTTCATTATAATACAAATATCAATAAAAAATCTTTTATTTCCATCAAAGACTAGGTCATAGTGCATCCATTCCTCAACCAAAATGTCCAATATGCCCTATAGCAAAACAATCTCGCACCACTTTTCCCCATAACACATTTACTACCACACAATCATTTGCCCTCATCCATATTGATATATGGGGCCCTTACCACACTCAAAATCATGATGGCTCTAGGTTTTTTCTCACCATTGTAGATGATTTCTCTCGGGGAACATGGGTATTTCTAATGCAGTGAAAAACACAAACTCTTACTCACATTAGTAATTTTATATTCATGATAACCACCTAGTTCAAGTCATTAGTTCAACGCGTCCAGACTGATAATGCTAGTGAATTTTTTAACCATCAATGCTCCTTTCTTTTTTTGTCTCTTGGTATTCTCCCCAAAAGCTCCTGTACCTATACTCCTCAACAGAATGAGATAGTAGAATGAAAACATAGACACTTATTAGAAGTGGCTTGAGCCCTAAAACACCAAGCCAACATTCCTATTAAATTTTGGGAGAATGTGTGATCACTACCAAACAGGAGCGGATTCAGCCCCAAGCCTACCCTCAGATTTGAAAAAAAAATTATTAATATACAGGCCATAAAAAATTGTTAATTAACATATACACCCAGACCCACCTTAGATTTAAAAAAAATAAAAATTATTATACCTACTGTATATCTAGGCCTACAACAAAACTTGTTATATATATATATATATTCATTCTAAGCCCACATCATATTAAAAGTTTAAAACTTTCTTCAGTATTTTTCTACACAACTTTACCTGTATTTTATGATTTTATCCCCAAATTCTTTACTCTCTTTTTCTCTTTCTCATGTTATTTGCTCTTAAAATTTTTGAAGACTGAAATTGTTAAATTTTCACTACTCAAAGTGTCATAATTAGCTCCGTTTTCTATTTTATCGATTTTAGGTATGTATATTGTTCATTTTAATTTAGTTTATTTAAGGATTGAATCATTTTTTTTTTCTTTTTAAAGTTTTTTATTCTAATTTGAAAGAAAAAAGATATTAATCTTGTGAGTTTATTTTGTATTTTCTGTCTAAGAATGAATCTGCTTTCTCAAATTAAAACCTTAACTATATTTTAAAGGGCATTATTATTCACCCTTCACCCACCACATTCCTACATTTTAAATGCCACCGTTCAGTTGTTCAAAATTATTAAAGAAATTTGAGTTATTATCTATGTTTATACTAAAAAAATTTCCCCTCTTTTATTAATTCATATTAAAAGTCAACGTAACGTTGACTTAATTTAAGTTTTGGTTGACTTTAGCTTAATTAGGTTAGGTTTGATCAACGCTATGAAAATTTATATTATAATCTTTGAAAGTCAAAAATAAAAATATTAAAAGAAGGTTTTATTTAAGGTTTACTCAACACTTTTACTCAAAATTTTGCTTTTCATAGATTTATTCAAGTAAGAAAATATTGTGTTATTGTATATTCTTTTTCTCAGGTTCTTAATATTGTATTATTTTTTTTTATTAAGGTTTGATGATTTTTTTTTAAGTTTTCACTAGTTATTTGGCAAATAAGGGCGGAGCCGTGGAGGCCCCCCCTGGACAAAAATCCTTGGATCTGCCACTGCTACCACATACTTGATCAATCGCATGCCAACCCGAGTTGTTGGTGGAAAGAGTCCTTATGAAGTATTGTTTGGCAAGACACCCAATACTAGTCATCTCCAGGTGTTTGGATGTCTTTGTTATTTTGCCATTGTTAAGTCTTGTGACAAATTCGGACCTTGGGCCATTCGATGCATTTTTATGGGATACCTAATGGTGTAAAAGGGATATCGTCTATATGATCCAATAGAAAACAAATTTCTCATATCTTGAGATGTTGCTTTTTATGAAGACAATTCTCCCTTTATTACTAATGATGCTAGTTTGAGTTCGCCTAGATAGTCACCCATATTTTTGGAGGATGACTCTCCAACAGGTCCCTTGTTTACAATGCTACCTGCCATTGTCACCAATCTACCATCAACGGAACCTACAACACCACAACACTTTGCTCCCACTTCTCCACAAGCAATTTCATCTCCACTTGCTAACATATCTTCTGCAACTCAACCATAATCTCCTATACCACCTCCTGTCCTTCCTCAACAGCTGTCAACTCGTTCCACTCGATCACCTATTTGGACATCTAACTACGTTTGCCCAACCTTACTGAATTCATCATGTACACCTTATCCAACCTCAAATTATGTCAACTATGTCAACCTCTCTCCTGTGCACAGGGTTTGTATCCATCAAATTTTTGCTGACCGTGAACCCACAAGTTATTCAGAAGCTATTCAACATATTCACTGGCAAAAGGCAATAGCAAACAAACTAAATGCCCTTGCTTATAATCATACATGGGATTTGGTACCTCGCCCTGATCATAGGAAACCCATTGGCTGCAAATGGGTATGCAAAATCAAATATCGTGCTGATGGTTCCATTGAACGTGTAAAGCTCTGTTAGGAAATGACCCGGTTGTGCAGCGGAAAACAAAATTTTATACAACCGTAAATCGTTCCTTAAAGCTCAAAATCAAGGCACAAATTTTACAGTTTATGTATAATATCAAGAATCTACAGAAAAAGTAAATCTAAGGTTTAGATTCATACCCACGTTGGAGGCTCCACCAAATATTGTCTCTGAACGTGTTTGCTACCGATTCAAGTATAGGATCGAACCGTAGACGTCCACATGAAGACAATCACAAGGAACCAAGGAGAGATTTGCTAGATCCTCCTTGGCCTTAAGAAATCAAGAAGAAAACAATGATTCTAGCTCAAACCAAAGTTGGCGTGGGAGAGAGAATGGGTTGTTGTGTGTTTTTCTTTTCTTTAATCAAAAGGCAAAAATGAATTATTAACAAATCACACAAACACCTTTCCTTTTATAGGCAAACTTACTTTGCCCTATTCCTACATGGAATGGGCTTGGGCTCCAACCCAAACACCTCATATTGCCAAACACTCCCAATTAGATATTTTAATTTAATTCATCATTATCTCAATCAAAATTAATTAATATTTAATTAACATTTAACAATAATGATGATTTAAATATGTGCGAACACACATTTAACCGTAATTTCACTTATTTAATTTTCTAACAAATTAAATAAAGGCTACGACTTCAACAAATTTAATTGCACTGTGAAATTACCAAAATACATTTTTACCTAAAAAGACGAAAATGCCCTTCTTTCTTCTTGGCTCTTAAATTATCTTCTATGTGTGTGACCCATAGGCTCCTCATCATACCGGCAGTGTATAGTATCACGATTAACACCAATTAATCGTCTCACTAATATACAGACCAAGATTGGCCCCTAGTAAGGCATCATGGCCACCCGATAGATTCGGATTCAGCAAAGTAGCTACCTGTCAATGATATGGTTATCGTACAATTTGATCCTTTCATCATATGTTATCTCGACGAGACAAAGGCATAGAAATAGTGTCAACCTTTGGTTACTCTCGATATTATGTATTTAGTTTCTGGACCAATGACCTGTATTATAATCCGGATAGAACAACAACTCAATCCCACTGTGGCCAGAGTTTTAGTGTCATTGCCATATACATGAATTGCGCAGTGAGATAACTTCTTCCGTACCCGGAAGTGATGAATCCTCTGTCAATCCACCATAGTCTTGATACACTCCTTGATGCAGCTAATCACCACTGCATTGACAGCTCTGAATAGAACTGCATTAGGCTAGTGTCAAACTGCACCAATCGGTGCACAAGGCGCTCTGATAATCTCAAATATAAGGATCACATGCACCACCATTCGTTAGAGGATTTGTTCTATAGACACTAGGGTTACCATCCATATGGAATCCTCTGGTGGGTCAGTCCAGTGAACTTGCTGCAGTATATCCGCCTACAACAAGCACACATGTGTTGCACCAGGTTGTCACCAAACAACCTTGACAAATGAGATCAGTCACTGCCTTTCGACATGGTCGTTTAACACTATGATAGCCTTACCGTATTATCTGTGCCCTTACTTCAGAATAATACTG